ACAGGACAGATAAGGACCCTTCGCTCATTCACAGAAACAGACGAGGCCCAGCATAAACTGCTCATACTGGTCAAAGACAATGGGAACATTTCACTCTCAGCAACAGCGACTGTGATTGTCAAAGTTGTGGAGCCCAAAGAGGCTTTTGCAGCTTCTGATGTGAAAAACGCAGTAAAAGATGAGGAGGAAAGCAATGTGACATTTTATTTGATCATCACTTTGGGCTCGGTTTCAGTGCTTTTTGTCATCAGCATCATCGTGTTGATTGTAATGCAGTGCTCTAAATCGACAGACTATTCCTCCAAGTATTTACAGGATTCAAATTACGACGGGACTCTGTGTCACAGCATCCAGTACAGATCTGGAGACAAACGGTACATGTTAGTCGGACCCAGAATGAGTATTGGCTCTACTATAGTACCGGGCAGTAATGGAAGTACTCTAGTGATCCCAGATCGCAGGAGGAGAGATTCTGGAGAGGTAAGAATGTCGATTTTTTTTATTTGTATGTAATTATTAACTCCTTCAGCTTCACATACAGACTACACAATATGTTTCTCATAAAACCGGTGAGCTAATTGCAAGTTAAGAATTTCTGACGGTTGTTTGCTTTACAAAAAGTACAATGTGCTTGCTTGCAAGTAATGACATCGTAGCGGGAGCTGTCCGCTGCACTGGTGCTGAAATTAGTTGCGGTTCTTTAGAATGGACTGGATTTATAGTGAGTTAAAGACGGCTTTACTGTGCTCTCACACACGTCTGCAGGAGTTGTTTTGCGTGATATAAATGCACTTTATGGAATGAAGTAGCATGTAGGTATAGTGGGCCACAGAATGCAATTTATTACGTGGTTTTCTACATTATATATGTGTTTAATGAAAAGCTTTTGAGAAGTTGTCTTCCTGTAGACCACTCGATGTAACTGTTGCTCTAGTATTTGTGTAGCAGATTAAGTCCTGCCCTTGATGATGACGAGAAACGGGCTGTATTTTTCCTCACATTCATGATGAAACATTCAGGAGCTGATGAACATTATAACGGTAACAGGCTGTGCTAACTGTATTAACAGTGGATCCATTTTGATTCGCATGATGTATCTAACATTACATTATTGAATCTAATCATCCATAATATACTGATCATTAGAATAACGTTGCCGACAGTCACAATGGAAGCTAGAGGACAAAGGCGCGGAAGGAAGAGCTGGTGGATTTTTCTGTTTTTCTCTTTGCTTGTGTGCTTCGGACAGCAGGTTTCAGCGCAGATAAGATACTCTGTTCCAGAAGAGGTGAAAGTGGGATCTGTCGTCGGAAATTGTGCTAAGGATTTGGGTCTTGATGTCAGTACATTGGCGGACAGACGGTTTCGTATTGTGTCTGGATCTAATGACGCTCTTTTCCAGGTAAATCAGAACAATGGCATCTTGTATGTGGATAAGCACATTGACAGAGAAGAGGTGTGTAATGGAAATAGCGCCTGCTTGATTAATTTGAAAATAGTTGTCGAAAAACCCCTCGAGGTCCATTATGTGGAGGTTGAAATCACAGATGTGAATGATCACTCGCCTTCTTTCCACGATAAAGACTTCTATATAGAGGTTGCGGAAAACACTGTAACTGGAACACGATTTGAACTTCAAACTGCTCGGGATCTAGATGTGGGAGCTAATTCAGTTCGACATTACCAGCTGAGCAAGAATGCGCATTTTGATTTGGAAATGAAAGATAGTGTATACGGAGATAAAACCCCTTTCCTAATATTACAGAAACCATTAGACAGGGAAATTACTGAAAAACACAGGTTACTACTAACTGCAGTAGATGGCGGAAATCCACCAAAATCGGGCACGCTTAATATCACTGTCTATGTTCTGGATGTGAATGATAACCGACCCATATGCAGTAGTGATACCTTAACGATAACATTGCGTGAAAATGCAATTATTGACACTGTAGTGACAATAATAAATGCAAGTGATGTTGATAGTGGTCTAAATAGTGAAGTAGAATATACATATGGCCGAAACACGAAACCAAAAATACGTGAAATATTTCGATTAGATCGGGCGACTGGTGAAATACGAGTTAAAGGCTTAATTGATTTCGAAGAAAATGATATCTACAGTTTAATGATAAGGGCCTCAGACAAGGGTCTTCCTCCTTTGAACACCGATTGTCAGCTTATAATTAAAGTTGAAGATGTAAATGACAATAATCCAGAAATACAAGTAACATCTCTTTCAAATGTAGTTTCGGAGGACGCAAAAATTGGAACGGTTATTTCTCTCATTAGTGTGACTGATAAAGATTCTGGAATCAATGGAAAAGTTGTTTGCAGACTATCTGACAATGTGCCATTTGAGTTGAAACCCTCTGTTCAAGATAACATGTATTCACTTGTAACGAAAGAACGCTTAGACCGAGAGGTAGAGTCCGAATATAACATAAAAATAACAGCAACAGATTTAGGCAACCCTCCTCTGTCAGCTTATAAAACTATGTTTGTACAGGTGTCAGATGTAAACGACAATATCCCAGAATTTTCGTCAAATCCTCTGGAACTTTATTTAACTGAAAACAATTCTCCAGGTGCTTCTATATTTTCTGTCAGTACCTCAGACAAAGATATGAATGGAAATGCTGCCATAACTTATCATATCATTAGAAGTGGAGGGATAAAGAACGACAAGGCATCTGCCATGAATATAAATTCTGAGACTGGTGTTATTCGCGCGCTAAAGAGCTTTGACTTTGAAACAGTTAAAATGCTCCAGTTCCACGTTCTCGCTACAGACTCTGGAACTCCGTCTCTGAGCAGTAACGTGACAGTGAACGTGTTTATTCTGGATCAGAACGACAACGTTCCAGTGATCTTATATCCAGTCAGCGCTAACGGTTCTGCTGAGGGTGTGGAAGAGATTCCCCGTAATGTGAACCCAGGTCATTTGGTGACTAAAATCAGAGCCTATGATGCAGATATAGGATACAACGGCTGGTTATTATTTTCACTGCAGGAAGTTAGTGACCACAGTCTCTTTGGTTTGGACCGCTATACAGGACAGATAAGGACCCTTCGCTCATTCACAGAAACAGACGAGGCCCAGCATAAACTGCTCATACTGGTCAAAGACAATGGGAACGTTTCACTCTCAGCAACAGCGACTGTGATTGTCAAAGTTGTGGAGCCCAAAGAGGCTTTTGCAGCTTCTGATGTGAAAAACACAATAAAAGACGAGGAGGAAAACAGTGTGACATTTTATTTGATCATCACTTTGGGCTCGGTTTCAGTGCTTTTTGTCATCAGCATCATCGTGTTGATTGTAATGCAGTGCTCTAAATCGAGAGGCTATTCGTCGAAGTATTTACAGGATACAAATTACGACGGAACTCTGTGTCACAGCATCCAGTACAGATCTGGAGACAAACGGTACATGTTAGTTGGACCCAGAATGAGTATCGGCTCTACTATAGTCCCGGGCAGTAATGGAAATACTCTAGTGATCCCAGATCGCAGGAGGAGAGGTTCTGGAGAGGTAAGAATAGCAGATTCATTCTAATTGCAATCAGCGTGATGGTTTGCTATTTGTATACAAAATGGTGTGTTTTTACTTATGATTTCATAGCGCAAAGTTTCGTTAAGTAGCTCACTTTGACATTTTTGATTTTCCGATCGTATTGTATGTATCCACAGCTTACAGGCAGCTGTTCGCTGCGTTGGTGCTGAAATTCTACGCAAATACTTCAGAATATGTAAAGTACATAATTTGTATGATAAAATTGTATGCTGAAACTGCTTTTTTTTGTGCATGTTATCAAAAACATTGTAAAAGGCACCAATGTTAGTAATCAAAAACACTGAATAGTTGTACACTTAAATATTCTTCTCTTATGTTAAGTTGTTGACATCTTTTCAGTGTTTTTATGACTGACAGTGGTTTATTTCAAAATATTTTCAAGTGTTTTGAAACCACTTGGTGTCGGTGTTGCTCCAGGATTTGTTCAGAATATTGAGCCCTGCCCCTGATGATGACGCGAGTAGGGCTGTATTGTTTTTTTTTAACACACACTGAAAAGGCTTTGTATGCATGAACGTACTGACGATGCTAAAAAAGACCAATTACTTATTTTCTTATTTTCTCATTATGTACTTGCCATAAACATCCAACTACGACTTCTAATAGTCGAGGATATAAACATTTAATCCTAGAGAAAAGGTTCGTTAATTGCGCGTGATGGAAGCTGGAGGACAAAGGCGCAGATGGGAGTACTGCTGGATTGCTTCGTGTATTTATTTTCTTCTTGGCATCGGACAGCAAGTTTCAGCTCAGATAAGATATTCAGCTCCAGAAGAAATAAAAGAAGGAACCGCAGTCGGAAATATCGCAAAGGATTTGGGTCTTGAAGTAAGTAGCTTGGTGGACAGGCATTTTCGAATCGTTTCTGGATCTAAGGAGGAGCTTTTTCAGATAAATCAGGAAAATGGCGTTTTGTACGTTTATAAGAAAATCGACAGAGAGTCTGTGTGTGCTGGCAGCGGTGTTTGCATGGTAAATTTAAAAACCGTTATTGAAAATCCACTCGAGATCCATTATGTAGAAGTAGAAATATCAGATATCAACGACCATTCCCCTAGTTTTCCTGAAAAAGAGCAGCGTCTCAGAATTTCTGAAAATACGCTCCCTGGTGCTGATTATCAGTTACAGGCTGCCAGAGATCCCGATTCAGGAACAAATTCGGTCCGGTCTTATAAGTTAAGTCCTAATGATCATTTTGAAATTCGAGTTAGAGAGAGTGATGAGGATAAAATGCCATTTTTAGTCCTTAAGAAGGCTGTTGATAGGGAGATTACAACCACATACAAGCTGCTTTTAACAGCAGTTGACGGAGGAAATCCTCCGAGATCTGGTGCTCTTAACATTACAATTACCATTCTAGACATAAATGATAATCGCCCTGTATTTAGTCGAGAGACATATTCTTTGACACTGCACGAGAACTCTGCTATTGGCACTGTGGTTTCTCGAGTGAATGCAACTGATATGGATGAGGGCTCTAATAGCGATATCGAATACAATTTTGCAACGTTAAACAGCAAAGTGCACGAGGTTTTTGAGCTCGATCAGGTCACAGGTGAAATACGTGTAAAGGGGGAAGTGGATTTTGAAGATACAGAAGTTTATAAACTCGATATTCAAGCCTCAGATAAGGGACATCTACCAATGTCTGCAAACTGTAGAGTTGTTATTAAGATTATTGATGTGAATGACAACAGGCCTGAGATTGAGATTACATCACTTTCTAAGAACATCCCTGAAGATTCTAAACCTGGAACGGTGATTTCTCTCATCAGCGTGACTGATAAAGACGCAGGGATCAATGGTAAAGTGATTTGTCAGTTAAACAAAAATATTCCCTTTGAACTAAAGCCTTCTTTCAAAGACAATATGTACTCTTTAGTGACAAAAGATCGTTTAGATAGAGAGACGAATTCACAGTATGACATTACAATAACTGCCTCTGATTTAGGGCAGCCGTCTTTGACTGCATCGACCACTCTAAGCGTTCAGATTTCTGATGTGAATGACAATGCTCCGTATTTTTTTATAAATCCTCTAGATCTCTACTTAATGGAAAACAATGCAGCCGGTTCCTCCATAATTTCTGTAAGCGCCTCTGATAGAGACACAGCTGAAAATGCCGTGATATCCTATCATATAATTAGAGGTGATGGCACACAGAATGATTTGTCATCTTTCTTAAACATAAATTCCGAGACAGGTGTTGTTTATTCGCTGAAAAGCTTTGACTTTGAAACATTAAAAACTCCCCACTTCCACGTGCTCGCTACAGACTCTGGAACTCCGTCTCTGAGCAGTAACGTGACAGTGAACGTGTTTATTCTGGATCAGAACGACAACGTTCCAGTGATCTTATATCCAGTCAGCGCTAACGGTTCTGCTGAGGGTGTGGAAGAGATTCCCCGTAATGTGAACGCAGGTCATTTGGTGACTAAAGTCAGAGCCTATGACGCAGATATAGGATACAACGGCTGGTTATTATTTTCACTGCAGGAAGTTAGTGACCACAGTCTCTTTGGTTTGGACCGCTATACAGGACAGATAAGGACCCTTCGCTCATTCACAGAAACAGACGAGGCCCAGCATAAACTGCTCATACTGGTCAAAGACAATGGGAACGTTTCACTCTCAGCAACAGCGACTGTGATTGTCAAAGTTGTGGAGCCCAAAGAGGCTTTTGCAGCTTCTGATGTGAAAAACGCAGTAAAAGACGAGGAGGAAAACAATGTGACATTTTATTTGATCATCACTTTGGGCTCGGTTTCAGTGCTTTTTGTCATCAGCATCATCGTGTTGATTGTAATGCAGTGCTCTAAATCAACAGACTATTCGTCCAAATATTTACAGGAAACACATTACGACGGAACTCTGTGTCACAGCATCCAGTACAGATCTGGAGACAAACGGTACATGTTAGTTGGACCCAGAATGAGTATCGGCTCTACTATTGTTCCTGGCAGTAATGGAAATACTCTAGTGATCCCAGATCGCAGGAGGAGATATTCTGGGGAGGTAAGACTGGCTGTTTAATTCTCCTAACAGTCATTGTTTTGCTTTGTTGTGTTTATACGCTATAGCTATGATTCTAAACAAATTTTTTTTACACACTTATGATGTCCTAGCGAAAAACTCTGTTCAGTACTTTATTTGACAACTTTGTCTGATTGTGTTTTAAGTAACCACAGCTTGCAGGGAGCTGTTCACTTCGCAGGTGCTGAAACTAAATGCAGTTAATTAGGAATGTTTTTTTTTTCATTAAGGCCCGAAAATATTTGAAAAAGCATCAATGTCAGTCCTGAAAAATTGCTAAATGTTGTAAACAAATCTTCTTAACGTAGATTTAAATATGTACCTCTTGTAGAGTTTATATTCATGTAAAGTTAATATTTTATCAGTTTTGTACAACTTACAGTGATGCTTTTTAAAATGTTTTCAAGTATTTGAAACCACTTGGTGTCGGTGTTGCTCCAGGATTTGTTCAAAATATTGATTCCTGCCCCTGATGATGACGCGAATATGGCTGTATTGTTTTTTTTCACACACACTGGAAAGGCTCGGGATGCATGAACAATATGCTGCACTGACGTTACCTAAAGACTGACTTCATATTTGCTTATTTGCTCATTATATGCTTGCTATAAACATTCGATTACGACCTCTAATAATCGAGGGTATATACATTTCCTAGATAAACCGCTTGCTAATCACTCGTGATGGAAGCTGGAGGACAAAGGCGCAGATGGGAGTACTGCTGGATTGCTTCGTGTATTTCTTTTCTTCTTGGCATCGGACATCAAGTCTCAGCTCAGATAAGATATTCGATTCCAGAAGAAGTGAAAGAAGGAACCGCTGTGGGAAATGTTGCTAAAGATTTGGGTCTTGAAGTAAGTAGTTTGGTGGACAGGCAGTTTCGAATCGTTTCTGGATCTAAGGAGGAGCTTTTTCAGATAAATCAGGAAAATGGCGTTTTGTACGTTCATAAGAAAATCGACAGAGAGTCTGTGTGTGCTGGCAGCGGTGTTTGCATGGTAAATTTAAAAACTGTTATTGAAAATCCACTCGAGATCCACTATGTAGAAGTGGAAATATCAGATATCAACGACCATTCCCCTAGTTTTCCTGAAAAAGAGCAGCGCTTGCGAATTTCTGAAAATACGCTCCCTGGCGCTGCTTATCAGTTACAGGCTGCCGGAGATCCAGATTCTGGAACGAATTCGATCCGGTCCTATAAGTTAAGTCCTAATGATCATTTTGAAATTCGAGTTAGAGAGAGTGATGAGGATAAAATGCCATTTTTAGTACTGAAGAAGGCTGTTGATAGGGAGATTACAACTACATACAAGCTGCTTTTAACAGCAGTTGACGGAGGAAATCCTCCGAGATCTGGCACCCTTAACATTACTATTACTGTTCTAGATATAAACGACAATCACCCTGTGTTTAGTCGAGAGTCATACTCTGTGACATTACAGGAGAATTGTATTACTGGCACTGTGGTTATCCGAGTGAATGCAACTGATATGGATGAGGGCCCGAATAGCGATATCGAATACAGTTTTGCAACATTAAATAGCAAAGTGCATGAGGTTTTTGAGCTCGATCAGGTCACAGGTGAAATACGTGTAAAGGGGAAAGTTGATTTTGAAGATGCAGAGGTTTATAAACTCGATATTCAGGCATCAGATAAGGGACATCTACCAATGTCTACAAACTGTAGAGTTGTTATTAAGATTATTGATGTGAATGACAACAGGCCTGAGATTGAGATTACATCACTTTCTAAGAACATCCCTGAAGATTCTAAACCTGGAACGGTGATTTCTCTCATCAGCGTGACTGATAAAGACGCAGGGATCAATGGTAAAGTGATTTGTCAGTTAAACAAAAATATTTCCTTTGAACTAAAGCCTTCTTTCAAAGACAATATGTACTCTTTAGTGACAAAAGATCGTTTAGATAGAGAGACGAATTCACAGTAT